GATATATAAATTCTACATTTATTTAAATGAGGGAAAAAAACTTCACTGGTATCGGATCGGTATCGGCCAATACCGAACCCTAGGTATCAGAATCGGTATCGGAGGCGAAAAAGGCGGATCGGAGCATCCCTAACATATACCTAAACCTACCCGTCTCCACCCACTGATCCCTAAACCTACCCATCTCCAACCCCACCCCTGGATCTTTGTTCTGCAGTGAGGGGCTACTGGACGCACGATGTGGCTTTTTAGGTAATATTTTAGTTGGCAAAATTGAACAAAAACACAATATTGTGTTTAAAATATAACACAATATTAACTTCTTATTAACTGAACTGTTGTATAAAATCACATTTGCACTTGGTCGTAGGCCTTGGCAATAAAACCACGAGATGCGCCGCTGCTGTGTTATGCATTCAAAATATTAGAGAAATATAGAAGCTCAAATGCGGAGAAGATCTTGATTAGGTGAAAACCGAAACCACGCCATTCACACAGATGCATATTCAGTGCATTTTGATGGATAAATATGACTGCTGCACTCGCGTCTCACACAAGAGTTGTAGCCATGCAAAGTTAAAATAGTTTAAACTTAGAAAACACGTCGCGAATTTGTGGAGATTTATTCCTTTTCACTGGGTCTCTTATGTTTTTAAATGCAATCTGCATGATGGGAGATTCAGCTCTTTGTATTAAGCAATGCATAAATACATGATGCTGTTTTGTTCATAATTGTTTATGCAATTTACAAAATTATATTTGATTTAAGCTATATGAGTTAATTTAGATGTAATGCTAAATAAAGTTTTTTTTTTATTTTTATAGACATTTATTTCCTTGCATTGACAATTTAAATGTGCTGCATTATTTTGCTCATTGCGCCCTCCTGTGGCCTCGGAAGACAAGCCAAAAGTTTCCTTAAAACCCATTTAATCTGCATATAAAACATTAGAAATTAGATATTTGTTTAATTTTTATTGCGTGTTTGACTGTTTGTTTGTCCCAATAAATTGGGTTAATTTAAAAATACAGTGGTTAAATTTAAAAAAATGTTCTGTTGCTCTTTGTTTTAAAAAAAGGTTATAAAAAATGTCAATAATTATCGATACCAAACGATATGAAACATTATATCGTTGATACATTTTTTAGCTATATCGCCCAGCCCTACTTGGTCGTGACAAAAACAGCACTCGTGTGATATTACTCTGGCTGCTGGTGTGATAGCGCTTATCATATAATATAAATATGAGACAAAAACTCATACAGGGGTATTTTTTTGCCCCAATATCTTGAATTTTAGGTCATAACTGCATTTATGGAGTTGTTGACCTTCATCATATTTGTCAACAGTCAACTATATGAAGTATGAGATGACGTACAGGTCTGAAGACGGGGCCAGTGCGTTAACTGCGTTAAAATATTTTAATCGCGTTATTTTTTTAAGTTAGCGCGTTAAACTGACAGCCCTAATATATATATATATATATATATATGTATATGTATGTATGTTGTAGCCATTTAAGAAAGTGTATTTTTATTTTATATTATTTATGTTTAAAAATGATTTGTTTGTTTTGTTTAGTTCAATTTGTTAATTAAGAAAGAAATTTGTATAACATGCTTCCGTGGCCAAAACAATATGTATGTATGTATGTATGTGTGTGTGTGTGTGTGTATATATATATATATAGATATATTTCCTATAATCCTTTAGATTTTTTTTTTTTTTAAGATTTTTAAATATGAGATGAAATATGAGATCATTTAAAAAAAACACTTTAAGTTATCATTAAAAGTAAAAGAAAACAAGTTAAGCTCACACTTGCAAAAGCCCCATGAGGTCTTCTTTAGTAGTCTTTAAAATATCTAAATATGTCGTAATTTTTTCATCCTGCACCAGGATGTTGTCTAGGCTGAGCGAGTGGTTCTGGAACGAGAGGCTGTGGTTTCCACAAGGACTGGGTTGGGCTGACCTGGAGGATCGTGACGGTCTCACCTACTCCAAGGCATCCGACCTCTGGGTGACCCTGCCCATTGCCCTCGCCTTCCTCATTATACGACAGATCTTTGAGAGGTCAGCATGAAACCTACTGATCATATTAGCTCATTAGTGTTTTATGTGGTTATCACCAATGTAATATTGTATTTGCAACATATGGTTTATGCAATAGACTTTTTATCAGAAGTGTACATATTAACACGTGCTGTTCATCTAGTGAGAAAGCTGTTTAAAAGAAAATGTCTGTCACGTTCAGTGGCCGTTTTCATTTGAATTTAAGAACATAGAAAGCACAGTAATGTAACATGGAGTGAACAAAACATACTGTATTGTATACATGAGCTCAGAAGGAGGATATTTGATGTAATTTTATCTGTCTGAAACTATCCAGTAATCAATCTGAATTACGTTTTACATTTGTAAGTGCTCTAGCATTTCAAAAACTTTGAATGATCGATGTTTTAAATATGGTTAGCATTGATGCAGTGTTGTCAGTTTTCCAACTCAAGTGTTGAAAGTTTAATACTGTTTTTCAAATTTAGGACAGTGGCCATTCAACTGGCCGCAGCTTTGGGCGTAAAGGAGAAAGTCAGAGTGCAAGCGGCGCACAACCTCACGCTGGAGTCGTACTTCAGAATCACAAGTAAAAATCCCAAACAGGTACTACAGTGCCAAACTCATTAGTACAGTTAAACCCTTTACTTTTTGTATGTTTCCTCATTTATAAGCTGCTTTAGATTCATGCATCTGTATTGTGAATGTAAATGTATGCAGCAAGTTTTTGCTATCTTGTGTATATGTACACACATTTTCAACGCTGAATTGTTTCAGTCCGCTCGTGAGCGACATATGTATCTCATACCCTTAAAATCATGTCTCGCCATTAAATGACCCTTCATGTTCTCTGTTATTTTTCAGAGCGAAATCGAGAGTTTAGGTAAAAAGACCGGGTACTCAGAAAGTCAGATCCACAGATGGTTCAGGCGACGAAGGAATGAAGAGCGACCCAACAAGCTGAAGAAGTTCAGAGAGGCCAGGTACAGAACTATACACAGACTATTTGAACCCCATTTCCATCCTTTCATAAATGGCCATAAAATACACCATGCTTAATGTCATGAACATTATAAAATGATTAAGTAACAATGCTCACTGATAATCTGAATATAGAGTGGTACGACATGCAATTATTATTCACGAAATTCACTGTAAAACAGAAAAAACACATCAATTATCCATTAGGTGGTAGGAAGGCTGTTGCACACAGGAGAAACGGTATGTGGTATTAATAAACAAAATTTGGCTAATGTACCCATGTATTTTACTAACTGGGGGTTGGTCCTTTAATATCTTGTCCTTGACATTTCAACATTTATTTGTCTTGTGCTTCAGAACCACATCCAACACACGTAATTAAAGGAATGCACAGGGTTCAATACAGAGTTAAGATTAATCCAAAGCATTTGGGGTAATGTTGATTACCTTAAAATAGTTCACCCAAAAATGAAAATCAGGCCATCCAATATGTAGATGAGTTTGTTTCTTCATGAGAAGATTTGAGAAATTTAGCATTACTTCACTTGCTCACCAGTGGCTCCTCTGCAGTGAATGGGTGCCGTCAGAATGAGAGTCCAAACAGCTGATAAAAACAAGATGATAATTCACAAGTAATCCACACGACTCCAGTCTATCAATTAACGTCTTGTGATGAGAAGAGCTGCATGTTTGTACGAAACAAACCCATCATTAAGATTTAACTTTTCAACCATCACTTCTTGCCAAAATGCAGTCCATAATCCATAATAACGCTTTCTCCAGTGAAAAGGTCCATCCTCTTGGCCTCTCCTATCAAAATCCACCTGTTTTGGACTGTTTTAGCTTGTAAACAGTGCTTGATCTGGTGAAAGCAATAGTATAGATTAAGGACTTGTATTTAATCTGGAAACAATGGTTTGAAGTTAAAAATGTCCTAATGACAGATTTGTTTTTTGTTTTTTTTGTAAGCATGCAGTTTTTCACTTCACAAGATGTGATGTTTTTATCAGCTATTTGAACTCTCATTCTGACGGCACCCATTCACTGCAAAGGATCCACTGGTGAGCAAGTGACGTAATGCAAAATTTCTTCAAATCTGTTCTGATGAAGAAATATACTCATCTACATCTTGGATGGCTCGAGGGTGAGTAAATAATTTGTATTCATTTCATTTTGAAAAATTGCCGATAAAATAACTCTGCTGAGCAGTAAACATTACAATCAGTTTTTGAAGAATAGTTCTTGATATTATACTTGTCAACCTAAGACTAAAGTGATATTGAATACTAACCTTGTCTGTGCAAAGTTTTATTGTGCATATCTTTTTCCTGTCATGACCATGTAAAGCTTTTTACATTCGTACTACTGAATAGCTAGAAATCCATGCACCTACAACACGAATTATATTTTAGACAAACTTAAAGTTCAAATGTAATTCATGTTGGCGCTTTAACATAAATAAAAGCTTCATATTTCAAAAGTGCATTACTTGTTAGTGCACAACTTAACTGCATCTTTTATTGTCTGTGGTAATGTACATTATGGCACAAATGCTTGTCGATAGTGCTTAACTTGTATTGAGCCTGGAACATCCTTTAAATTAGTTTTGTTGTCATGCTGTCTCCAGCTGTCAGACACAACAGTAGGTTGTAGATGCTTTAAATACAGTTGTAGGGGCTGTTGGTCGTGATGTGGGCTTGTAATAGTAGTATTTGTATTGTGAGTGGACTGTATCAGTGTTGTTTTGCTGCCTTTTTGTACATTTTGTCACTGTATGTAGCAACTGTAGACCCTTAAATTGAATGGCTGGTGATCAAGTAATGTTTTTGATTTATTAATCTGAAAAAATGCTGTCATTTGTTCTTATGAGAGATGCTTGGCTTTGTATATTATGTTGCTGATAATGTATTTGCTTTTGGATATTATTTGCTGAAATAAATATGCATTTTCTTACAGTTGGAGATTTACCTTTTACCTTCTTGCTTTCATTGCTGGCCTTGCTGCACTTATTGATGTGAGTATTAAACATGCTTCCCTTTTCCTCCCTTTTTGGCCATTTTGAGTTTATATCATTTTATAATATTTATAAAATTTGTATAAATTTATATATTATACATTTAATATTTATATTTGATAATATATATTTATTTCCTATAATATCGGCCTCATTAATCAGCTGATGTGTGGTTATTATGAAACATTTTCCTCTTGGCTGGTTGATCCAAGTGTCATTTCCAAAAACTGTTGTTATTTTTGTCCAGGGATAATGCACATTTTTGCTTTCAAATATTGATGGCATTTTGGGTAAGTATTGTTTAGTTTACACAATATTTACTCAGAATTCACTCAGATATTTGAAGAGTTCCCATTTGTATCCCTAAATTTTATTTCAACAATATTATGAACACCTTATTTTCTAAAATCTCATATTTATGTACATTCACTATTGATGCAAAATTGAACAAACCTACTTATTCTTTTATTAGTATTTTCTACATTTTTAGAATAATAGTAAAGTCATCAAAATAGCAAATGGGAGTTATGTGCAAACAAAAATCAAACACAAAAAGAACATTTCGAAGAGAAATTCTGAAACCATACATGGGGACAAATGATCTTTGTCTACAAAACTAATTTCAAGAATTTAAGGAAAGGCCTTCATGAGAACCAAAAATATTAAATCTAGTGTCTCTAAATGTTTGATTTATTCATTTTAGAGTTTTATTCCAAAGCAAATTTCAACTTGTTATTCCCCATGACAGCCAATAGCTGGCATGGCGTTAAAACACCAACCAACCAAGCAAATGTTTGACTTGTGCTTTATATCTACCATTATTTAATCTATCAGCTAACCTGCTTTCTAAATTCTGGCATCGGCTGTTCAAATACCCATACTGGTGGACCACAACCCCTCCTGTAATGTCATACTTGTGACCTGCAGCGCTTTTGTTGAGATGAAATATGAGAGCACTTTTGTCTTGGCTCATATTGTCTTCATATTGTTTGTGTTGTGCAGAAACCTTGGCTCTACAAAATGAAGGAGATGTGGGCAGGGTTTCCAATGCTGGTGCGTTCACTTCTTCTATTGATTGTGGGTGTAAAATGTGTCTGCACAACCTTGTCTAAATCTGAAATGGTCTTTCAGTGAACTTTGGTATTGCTAAGCTTATGTAAATATGTTTTAACAAGGAGGATCGTAGAAATTTGAATTTCACAAGAAATATGCAAACTGATGCCACAGTACCTTTCCTTAAAGCTTCAGGTCATATACAGCAGAATAAATCAGCTGTAGAAACGTTTGTCATTTGTAAAACCCACTGTCTTTTAGCCACATCGCTGTTCTGTTGTTACTGATACTGAAATGTCATCTTTCAAAATATTTTATGAATTTATTTGTTTCTCTCTCTAGCCGCTGCTGCCTTCTCAGTACTGGTACTACATGATTGAACTAGGCTTTTACGTGTCCCTCCTCTTCAGCGTCGCATCAGACGTCAAGCGAAAAGTGAGTGAGCCAAAGACTTTAAACTTAAAACCCTACCTAAACTTTTTTAAAAATCTGTCTTTCATAGAAATACCCACTATTCATTCGTTTTTAGTATTAGTATCACAAGGACTTCCGAGATGTCCAGCTTGGATGTGGAGTGTTACCTGCTGCGTTTGTGTGTGTGCGCATTTGAGGATGGTTAATCATCAGTGGAAAATCTCTTATCTCACAGAACCATTTGATAATAGCATTAATTTGGATTTTTGTATAGTCTGTTTCCAGCACAGAGAGAACACTAGCTATTCCACAAAGCATTAGTGAACAGTAAAAGTACAGCAGGATTAGGTTTATCAGTGGTTTTACATCACTTGTCCAATGATTTATTATAAGCCCTACTGAAAAAACAGCCTAAGCTGGTTTGCTGGTGTTTGCTTCTCTGTTGGCAGATTTTAGGCACTTTTCAGACCAGCTTGGCAAAACCATTTTACACCAGCTAAAACCAACTTGGGCTAGCTTAAACGGTTTATCTTTCAAATCGGTCTCATGTTTGGTGCTATTCATTGAACTTCTAGCAAACCTGGCAAATAAAGCTTCATATAACTGAGCTGAATGAAGATGATGCATCAATGTTCATTCTTTCTAAAGTTTGAGGGAACATTTGAGAGCCCAATAAGATGATATGTCTACACAAAACCAATTTACATTTGGGTTGTGCATCAAATCAAGCTTTATCCAACATGAAAAAAATCACTTGACTGAGATGATAAAATCCAACAGATCGAATGTCACCTGGTGGTATTTTCACAAACTGAATTTTAATAGGTCACCTATTTTTAAGTGATGGTTCGATTAATCAGTCACCTAGTCTATTGTGCTCATCCTGAACTTTGAGTCTAAAGCTTTGGCAATATCATACTAATGTTCTCTAACAGAATATGTGAAATCCCCTAAATTATGTATTTCTGATCAAATAAATGCAGCCTTGGTGAGCACAAGAGACTTCTTTCCTAAACATGAAAATCTTACCGACCCCAAACTTTTGATTGACAGTGTACCATATTACTGAAGAATTACCATATTTATGTTATTAATATGGTACTTCTAATAAACCATGGCAGTACTAAGTCCATAACCATTGCGTTATTTTGTTGGGAAGATCATATTTTCTCTCGTTCTCTTTCCTTCAGGACTTTAAAGAACAAATAGTGCACCATGTTGCCACCATCCTGCTGATTAGTTTCTCCTGGTGTGTGAACTACATCAGAGCAGGAACCCTCATTATGCTGGTGCACGACGCCTCCGACTATCTGCTGGAGGTAAGGGAACATTAGCATAGAGACTGTGTCCCTGGAGCTTTGACTTCGTTACACTTCAATACAGAGAAAAATGTTTTTCAAACATTGGCATTATCTTATTTGCAACATGCGTATGTTAAGTGAAAGCCACACATCAGATTGTTTAATAGAGTGTTATAGTGAACGAGTGTTTTGCAGACATACTTTGCGATTGTAATGTTTTCTCCTCAATTTCTATGAACAAATAATTTTATCACATGGGTCTTGTTTACACATTTGGCTTTTGTGACAGCCACATCCAGATGATAGACACTCATAGTTCTGTCCATTACATGATATTAATAGTTGTAATCCAAATGTTGTTTATTAAAAAAATATTTTCCTTTGCTGTTATCAAGCTTCATGTGCTTGTAAAGTTATATCGCTCTTGTAAATGGCTAAATTAATTCAGTCAGGGTTATTAATGCAGGTGTGAAACACTGCCTCCTAGTGGTGCTTTTTGTGCTAGACTCACAGACATAATGTCCCATCTCTGTCTGTCCCAACAGTCTGCCAAAATGTTTAACTACGCCGGCTGGAGAAAAGCGTGCAACTACATATTCATCGTATTTGCTGTCATCTTCATCATCACCAGACTCGTCATCTTCCCATTTTGGTGAGTTGGCTAATTTTCTATTTTGATCCCAAGGTTTATAATTAAACCTATAAATCATGCATTTCTCGTGACCCACTTTCTGTATTTGTCAAGAGATATCAAATGATTTGCTTCTATAATATCAAATGAAAGCTCTATAGGAATTCGTGCCTGTCTCAAAGTTTGGTTGAAATGTCACACTTTTTAATAATTCTATAAACCTTTGCGAAATCAGGCCATCAGGCTCCTAAACTCAAACTCAGTCTCTTAACACCAACATGACTTCACTTAATTATCAGTAAGACACTTAATATACAGACATTGTCACTTGCACACAGCAATTTCTGTAATATTTTATTTATTTACTTTTTTTTGACCTCTGTTGCTGCTATGTAACTACCCATGTACAACCTGTTTGCACATTCTTCTATTGTACACTCCTGCTCATCCAAATATTTATTTTTTATCTTACTTTTTCCATACCTATATTTATATATAATTTTCTTGTGTTTGTATTCTTTAATAATTGCACTGTCCATGAAGCACTTACATCTTACATTTCACTGCTGGTCATATATTCCCTATATAACCATGTATGTGACAAATAAAAATCTTGAATCTTGAATCTCTTGAAATGAACTCCAGATGCCTTTTTTTTTCTTCTTCATTGCTAGGTACATGTCAGATGTTAAACTCTCACTTTCTCTCTTTTCCATGTCTCTCAGGATTTTGCATTGTACTTGGGTGTATCCGGTGACCGTTTATCCTCCGTTCTTTGGATATTACTTCTTTAATGGGCTGCTGTTTGTGCTGCAGTGTCTGCACATATTCTGGGCCGTGCTCATTCTGCGTATGGCCATCAAATTCTTGCCAGGCAATGTAAGTTATCCAGCACAGACTGGACTACTTTGGATATTATATTTTGGCATTTTATCCACTATAGTTCTGTAAAAGTGACAGCTTGTTTCAAATCGAGAAGATAAAAATATCCTCCCATAAATTTACATTTTCCTCTTAAAATTATATATATATATATATATATATATATATTGAATGCTAACATTATCTATCATGTACATGTATAATCTTCTATCATGTACATACACAAATGTTCAAACATTTGGGGTCACTGTTCTTTATTAAATTAATATTTTTATTCAGCAAGGATGCATTTAATTGATCAAAAGTGACTGTAAAGACATTTATAATGTTACAACCAATTTCCTTTTAAAATAAATGTGTTCTTTTGAACTTTCTATCCATCAAAGAATCTTAATTTACACAAATATTTCTACAAAAACTGTTTACAGTATTAATAAATATTGTCTCTTGAGCAGCAAATCAGCATATTAGAATGATTTTTGAAGTATCACATGACACTGAAGACTGGAGTAATGATGCTGAAAATTAAGCTTTACCATCACAGGAATAAATTACAGTGTAAAATATATTAAAATAAAAACATTATTTTAAATAGTAATAATATTTCACAATATTACTGTTTTTACTGTATTTTTTTTATCAAATAAATGCAGCTTTTGGGAACATAAGAGAATTCCTTAAAGGGATAGTTCACCCAAAAATGGAAATTCTGTCATTAATTACTCGCCCTCATGTCATTCTAAACCCATAAGACCTCCATTCATCTTCGGAACACAAATTAAGATATTTTTGATGAATTCTGAGAGCTCTCTGACCCTCCCATAGACAGCAAGGTTACTACCACGATCAACGTCCAGAGACGTAGCAAGGAGATCGGTAAAATAATCCATGTGACATCAGGGGTTCAACCGTAATTTTACGAAGCTACGAGAATAATTTTTGTACGCAAAAAAAACAAAAATAACAACTTTATTCAACAATCCGTCTCCTTAGCGCCATTTTGGAGAGTATCCACTGAACGTAAACAGCATATGCTATTCTGTGACAGCTGCGTCACACGGATACGTTGTTTTCGTTCAAATCAAAGCGTAAACAATGTAGAAAACATATCCACTTGACGCAGCTGACACAGAACAGCATACGCTGTTTACGTTCAGTGGATACTCTCCAAAATGGCACCAGGGTGACGCGGAAAAGACTAATTGTTGAATAAAGTCGTTATTTTTATTAATTTTTTTTTGCGTACAAAAATTATTCTCGTACCTTCGTAAAATTACGGTTGAACCCCTGATGTCACACGGATTATTTTACCGATCTCCTTGCTACGTTATTATATTGCTGTCTATGGGAGGGTCAGAAAGCTCTCAGAATTCATCAAAAATATCTTAATTTGTGTGGGTTTAGAATGACATGAGGGTGAGTAATTAATGACAGAATTTTCATTTTTGGGTGAACTATCCCTTTAAGAAACATAAAAAAAAATCTTAACAAACCCAAAAGTTTCTATATATGGTAACATCTCAACAAAAATATGTTTTAGTATTTCACTCTCAAAATCTCAATGCAGTTTTTTTTCACATATGGAAAAACAAACAACCAAAATAAGATATTTAGCAGATTGTCCAAGCTGCTGGTCTCTATGCAATGAAAGTAAATTGTGACCATCGCTATTTCTGGTTTCCATCCAATTAATTCTACGAAACAGTGCAGCTTGGTCATTCTTCAGAATTTCTCCTTTTGTGTTCCACACAAGAAAGAAAGTTCTATTAGTTTGAACTACATGAGTGTAGTGTAAGTAAATGATGACACAACCTTCATTTTTGTGTGAACTACACTTTGAAGTGATTCAGGAAGAAATAATTGCATAAAATTGTAGGAAATATGAATTGCAAGGATTTTAAAGCTTCATCACAGTTCATTTGTCATGCCACAGAATATTGTGGAGGACGAGAGGAGTGACCGAGAAGAAACAGACACGGAGGACGATGAGGAAGAACAGGAGGACAGGAAAGCGCCAATGAAAAATGGACCAGTGCAGAACGGCCACTCTCCTCTAAACAACAACCATCACAGCAAGACTGAGTGATACTAGCAGAGACGAGAGAAGGAGGTACAACACTCCCCTTCCTGTACACACGGACGAGACCAACAAACTAACGCCAGGGGTGTTTGATGGATTGAAAAGGCCCAGAGCAAACACACACTCACAATACATGTAGATATATATATATATATGATACTAATTTTTGGAAATGGACATACTTTGAAAAGGAGGAAAGATGTAACTTCTTTCCCCTTGCAAACTATTTAAAACACTATTAATAGGCACCGTATCATTAAATAACCCTTTTGTTTGTTCAGGGTCTTGTCTAATGTTAGTGAATCCAATGTTCACTTGCTTTACTGGAAATATTTCCTCTAGTTTATTAGGTGTTTAGTGCCTTATTAGTACAAAGTTGTACTGACGTTCATAGTTTTCATTTCCTTTTTGTCTTTTGGGCATCACACACACACTGTTATCCTCCCTTTACTTGTCAGTAATACGTTTTTGCATGTTTTGTCTGGTCAACTGTCAAATTTCCAAGAATCCCTCAGTATTTGAGTTCTGAAGTTGCCGGAAACTGACTGGAAGTTTTTGTTTTGTCACCCATTTGTTCACTATATAATAACAACCTCACCAAGTGATCTTCACACACCTGCTTTACTTAGAAAACTTGATCTTTCCCCAATCCAGTTGCACTAATAAACATTACTGACCCCGTCTTGCAACACTACCACTTTACAAAGGCTCTAAAGACTTGTATTGCCATGAGATCCCGTCCCAAAGGAGCTAAATCAGTGTGCTGCTTTTTGCATTTAACATTTGTCTGTTGAGTTTGTAACGAAGCAACAAATGTGTGTGTGAAAGAATCTCATATCTAATATTTGTGTTGGTCGGCATGTGTCCTGTAACGCATTTCTGTTAAAAATGCATTCTTAAATATATTCGTTACAGTTATTTTAAAGTGTTTTTTTTCCTGGTTTTTCATTTAAGATTATTTTTATTTAAGGTCCAGATATTTTCAGCAAACCTGATAAGCTGATAATTTATGCAGTATGTGGAAAATGACTTTGTAAAAAGCAAAAACAAAGTACTTGGCAGGAGAACCTGTAGTTAGTGTTTTTCTCTTCCGTTTATATGATGAATAATTACAATAACAGTCAGTATTGAGTGCTGGATGCACTTTGTAACTCTCCGTCTAATGTAAAATGCATTATAATGATTGTGTTGTTAGCAAACTGTTTGACATAATTGAAACTCTGGCTTGCATTTGTGGCATTTATAGGAAATGGATTCCATAGTTTAAAAAAAAAAAAGTTATGGAAATGATCCAATATGTCCTCCAGTATGTACTGTTTGCCCAGTGTCTGCTGCTTTACATGAGATCATGTTAAACCTTGAAGGCACAGTTCACCCTAAAATGAACATTGTCATTATTTACTCACCATCATTTTGCTCCAAAACCTGACTTTTCTTCTGTGGACAACAAAAGAAACTTGGGGTGCAAACAACACAGGACGTCATTGACTTTAATTGTATGGACAAAATAGTTCATCTATGTTTGCAGAAGAAAGTTTTTGAATGACATGAGGGTGAATAAATGATGTTCATTTTTGGGTGAACTATCCTTTTAAGTGTCATATTCAATTCCACATGATCTCTTGTTACAATTTAAGCAACAGGTTAACAAATTGTGGTCCAGTATTGCTTTTGTTAATATATGAAAGTCTGTGTCAATACAGGTGCTCAGCATTTAATGCATTTTTGCTAGTGGAATGTGACATCTAGATTGGCTATACAAAGTTATTTTAAGTTTCCAAAAGTTGCCACAAGTGCCTTATTTGTAAATGTATATCGGTGTCATTTCCATGTGTGCTTGTTGTCCTTGTGTTCCTGACCTCATCGCCTTTAGATTTTAAGCTGAAGCATCCTCCTCTCTCTCACTCCTTCTCTGTTTACATCCATTCAACTTCATCTCTCCTCACGGCCCGGTGCCAAGACCAATCCTTCCCCTTCACCGCGTCCTGTCGACTGTGGGTCCACCGCATAAACAAGCAATTTGATCAGTGTCCCCAACGGCCAGTGTTTTATGTTGTATTTTGTATCATCATTATTCAATGATGAAAGATAAAGATTCTTGTGGATGACCGAGTTCTTTGTCTGCTTGTTTTTTTTTATAGTTTATATTTGTGTTCAAAGCTGCATATAAAATACAGTAAAAACATTGAAATGCTGAAATAGTATTACAATTTCAAATAACCGTTTTCTATTTTATTATGTTTTAAATTGTAATTTATTCCTGTGATGACAAAACTGAATTTTTAGCAGTTACTTCAGTCTTCAGTGTCACATGATCCTTCAGAAATCATTCTAATATGCTAAACGGTGTTGAAAAGTTGTGCTGTTTAATCTTTTTGGGGAAAGAGTGGTAGTTTTTCAGGATTCTTTGATTAAAATGCATTTATTATGTAACAATGTAAATGTATTTAATATCACTTTTAATCGATTTAAAGTGTCTTTGTTGAATAGAAGTATTAGTTACTTTTATAAAAAAAAAATAATAATAAATTCTGACCCCCAAACTGTAGTTCATGCAGATCCTGCAGATATTAAACTTTTAGTCCTTGTAATTGAATGCTGTGACGAATGGGGGCGGGGCCGAGAGCCGTGGGAACGGAGCGAGGCCGGTGGAGTAATTGATGATGAGCGACACCTGCACCACTCACCGGTCTCGAGTCCCACGGAGGAGCTCCGGAGGGATAAAAGGAGGAGTGACGACCAGAGAGGACCAGGCCTGGACTTTATTTTGTGTTTTGGTTCTGTTTGTGCGCGACAGTCGTCCGCGAGGGGCTGTTGCGCTATTTTGTGTTTATTTTATTATTAGTTTTCTTTAAATGTTTGCTGGTTCCCGCCTCCTTCTTCCCGACCTACGAACGTTGTTACAAATGCAAATGCCAAAAAGATTCTTACTAAAACAAAAAAAAATTAAGAGAATTAGATGTTTTATATATTGGCTACGTGTGTCTGTCCGTGTTTCGAATCTTTGCTTTAAGTGTATTTAGAGATTTTACATTCAATGATGTTGTTAAATACATTTAGAAATCAAAAGTGTAGTTACAAAGTGCAGCCATATACTAATATTATTTACCATTAAGCACCATGTTCTAATTTGACCTTGTGACCTGAGTCTTTACATTTTATTTGATGCCTGCAAAAGTAGTAGATGCATAAATGCCACCATTTTGCTGCTTTTAATAAGAAAGACTCTGCCAATCAAATAAATGCAATATGTAAAATGTAAACATGCTAGACATTTGTTTTTGGATTTGTCACAACCCAAAATGTTTGTACCGCACGTGTGTGTGATACCTCCGCTGAAACTCTCCTCTGTTGATGGCTACCTGATTCTCCCCTGTGTAATGAACCTTGGACCACATTACGGTTAACTGCCACTTCAATATCTGAGATCAGTTACCGACCACGCTATGACTCTTAGCCTAAATGTAGGGTTATGGGCTGAAATCTGATCTCAGATCAGCGATTAGCGTGATCACACACTGACTATAATTGGTCCTCTATGGTAATGTGGCCATGTCGCTTTTCTACCTCCACACATAAAGGTCACAGCGTCCGTACACTTGGAGTTCAGTTGTCCATGTCTGGCAGCAGTGATCTAGCTCTCTTCCTCCAGATCTCTAGGATACCCTGGCCTATGGGTCAGTTTAATCATGTGCTAGTTTGTAATCTATCCAGACAAGGTCTGTACGGCTCACTGAGGAGAATGGGATGGGACATGAGAAGCAGGTGAGTGCATGATGCCAAATTAATTCAAAACCGATAAAAATGTTATATAACATGCATTATATTTGTGATAAACCCTCCATAAAAGTGTATCTTAGATATATTTTATATATTAGAAAATAGTTCTGTTTTGACTTAAAAATATTAAGCAGCAAAAACAGTTTTCAACATTGTTAATAATAATAGTGTTTCTTGAGCAGCAAATCAACTGATTAAAAATGATTTCTGAAGGATCATGTGACACTGAAGACTGGAGTAATGATGCTGAAAATTCAGCTTTGCATCACAGGAATAAAATATAACAAAAATATGAATCTTAAATACAACAAAATAGAAAAACAGTTATTTTAAATTGTAGTAATATTTCGCAATATTACAGTATTTTACATCAAATAAACATGGGTGAGCATAAGAGACCATTCAGCCATATTTTTGGATATGTTAGTAATAATGAGTCCAAACTAAACAGTGAACTAATGCACAGATTTTCTAAATTTTATATTTTATTAGTGTATTTTGTCAAGACAACCACATGCAATTAAA